AGATTGAAAAAACTATAGATACTTCTTATTGAATCTCCCTGAGCCAAATATGCCCGTGTCAAATTTTTAAAGTCCCTGTCAGAATTTCCTCACAAACAATGCATTCATAACTTCACCAACTCGTGGGGTTTCTCCTTAATTCAAAACCTCCGTATATAGATGACTCGAATTTTAGGGAGGCCTAATCTTGGAAATTCTTTTATAGCGAGGCACGGAAAAGAGAAAAGCAAGGAAAGTGATTTGATTTAATTTTAAAGTGAAAGACTATTAGGGGAGATGAACCCTTGCATTCAAGTCCAGCATCATGTCAAACACTTTTAGAAGCAGCAATTTAAAGCCCTGAGTATCACCTGCTATTACAATTTTCTGTAGTTTTTCCTTCATTTCCCGCCAGCAAACATGCTTGTTTCCTTTAATCGAAACTTCCCCTAGTCCAATTTCCGCTTGTTCCATTAAAGATCGACTTGAAGAGGTTCAACAGCAAATAAATTGGAAAATGAATTCGTCAAATTTCAATATCTTTCGAGAGGATATTCCTCCTATACACCAATTGAAATTTCAAGTCGAACTTCACATTCAGCGAAACCGCCATAAGAAATACGAGATCAGAACTATTATTTCTTCAATCACGCAGGGTTGTCAGATCCGTCATGTAGCATGGCATTCTATTCCCAACAAAAATTTCACAAAATTTAAATAAATTAAAAGGCTCATCAGCAGATAAGACTTCCGGGAACCTTCGTTTCAATCGGGTGGTAAAATGAATCAGAAAATGGGTACCGGAAATAGTATTCCTTAAAAATTATGTTCATCCCCATCGTTCATTAAATATATTCGGAGAAGGGAATCATGAAACTAAAGTACATTGTGATCCAACGTGGGACAACGAATGATGCATTCATTGGTATACAATACAACTGGCCTTCATTATGACGTGACCGCGTACCTCATCACGACAGCACCGCAAATTCGCTAATCGAGCTGTTTTACTCAAGAAAACGTATTTAAAAAAAGACGATTACAGTACAGTTATATAGCTTGCTGAGCCAGTCCGGATCCGTCCCAGATATATAAATCCTAAATTCTGCCTAACTTATCAAAGTCCATGCTTGCACGGAAAGCGCAATTACTGAAACATTATCTCATAGCCTATCTGTCGCGAAATAATCACCCCGAGTTCGGTAATTCTCGCTCCACTCGCTGACAAACCATTATTATTATGATCATCATCACCAGCTAGACAGACGACCATGAACTTGAACAATAATCTCGTTCCGAGCGGCTGACTTCAGCGGTTGAAAATACAAGCAAGGAAAAGTGCGGAAGGTTTCAAGTCCTCGCGCTCGCTGATCAAATAACAGCAGAAAGCAAGGATGAAATGCTCGCGGGAAGAAAAATTAAAAAGAATAAGAAGAAGACGAAAAAGGCAAAAAGTCCTGGAAGATGAACAGGAGGGATGACAAGAAGCCTTTGCACAAGAGCTGCAATTCGTCATGCTCGGACAAACGAGAAGCCGAGCCTCGCGTGTCGAGTTTTTTCCTTCGGCCAGGAATCGGTCACGGTGCTTTATACCTTTTTCCTTCCTTTCCTCTGTGGGCTTAGGCGGTGATTCGTTCGGGTGCGCATTCGAAGTACACAATTCTTGAATGATTAGGAAACAAACCAAATAAGAAAATTCACAAGAGACCTGGAGAGGTTTCGAATTGGCAGAACTTGAAAATTTAGATTATGTCCGGTAGTTAGGCTTGGTTAGATTAGCGCATTTTTAGTGTGACTGCATACTTGTATATGTCAGTCAGGTTTGTTCAGGACATTTAGTTAGGCAGTATTGGGCATGTTCAGTCCTGTACTGTTTTCAGTGTTAGGTGTACCAAGTTATTATATAGTTAGATTCGGGGATTTCAGGGTAAAGCTATAATACTTTGCAGTCAGGCTATAAGTTACGTGTGATTTTTCTTCCATGCAGCACTTCACAGGATTTTTCTTCATATCAGTCAGACCACTCGGACGGAAAGCTTTCTCAAGAAAGCATTCATTGATGTGAATAATAGCTAACACCTTATTAAAAATATACTTAAGCACAAGAAATGACCAAATTTTTATTGAATTGTTTCAATTTTAAACATCAGAGTGGAAGTGCTGGGAACTGCCTGCGAATTCATCAAAATGCAACTCAAACAAGTACAGAAAACTTCTTTTTCTCACGACGAAATTACGCTCTTACAAAAATCACTTTTCTTCAGAATCTCATCCCTGAGCTGAGCAAGAAGTTCGAAGATTCATCAGCACATAATAATGAGATGCAGTTTAAATTCATGTTCATCTCAATCCATTAACTATTCCACTGTCACGAAATACTGAAGACTGGCAACCGATATGAAACAGCAATAGTTTCATGTTCGCTTAGATCTAGTACAGATTGACTGACGAAGTGAGTTTATATATCATATTTAGTCAGAAATGCTTGCTTATTATAATTTTCTAATATGCAGTACATACACATTTTTCGAAGAATGCAAGGTCCACGCGATCGCTTCGCAAATTTTCGGCAAACATGCGAACCCCAAAGACAATGAAATGAAATCTGCGTCCTAAAATGACTTATTAACTTTTTATCGATGGTTTTTAATCCTTACCCTGATCCTAACAATGGTGTCGGGGGCGGTGTGTCCACCCTGGAAATGTTGTCCAGCGGAACGGAGTGGTAAAGATGGATGGGAGGATCAGCCGCTCGTCAACGCTTCCGGAAATCCGGTTTTTCGAGCTTTCCCCTGGATGTTCGGTAATTTTCGGGATTTTTTGATGGAAGGACACTTTATTGTGAATTGTTAATTTTTCTGATAGTTGGTTATTATATCGCACATCGTATGCGTGTGCTAATTATAATAACCCTTCAATAGTCTCTGCGTTCGGTTTAGTTCATTATTTCTGCATAATTTATTTTTTAAAATCTCGAATCACTTGTTGCATGCCCCGAAAAGTATAAATGAATATTTTTTAAATATGTTTTTGGTGAAAGCGGGAAACTTCAATTTATGTAACTTATGGATTTATATAATGCGTTGTATCATATAAGCCTGGTTTTTTCACATCTGCCATTAGTTATAACGTCACTATCATGATGACCTTTCGAGTTAATTTCTTCTGAATTAAATTGAGAATAGACAAAAGTTTCGATCCAAGTGCATTTGCTAAATTTTGTCGACAGTGACTAACGAGATACTCCAAAACGAGACACAAAATTAACTTGCTGTTATGATTATAAATTTGACTAAATATGTTACAAACTTCCTTTTTAACTATACGCGTGTACTGTGAATATAAAAACAGTATCTCACTTATTATTTGTTCAAGATGCATCAAAATATTGAGAAATAAAAATTTCCCATTTTTCTATAAATGTTGAAAAAGGTGTCCATATGTTGAGATAGTGTCCAGATGTTGGGCCAGATTATCTTTTAAACTTTCGAGTGTCATATCAAGACAAATATTGTCCATGCGCGTTATTGGTGGGGTGTCCGTATTTTGAAGCATCACTGTACTGTACAGTAATTCAGTGTAAGCGGCGACATCTATACTGCATAAAAATATTCAGGCGAGAGCCGGTAAATCCTATGGAAACCGAGCTGAGAAACTCCCGATCAGCGGGGAACTCAGCCCTAATATATTCCCTGCTGCGTTCTGAGCAGCACGTGTAAACTATATAGTCGAGACAAAAACTGTACCTGAAACCCGACGTACTCTTAACCATGCAACAAAAGCAGGAATTTCGACTTCAAATTGAAAGCTGAACAGGCAAAGGGAGAAATTTCCGCAGGTAGCCGGGATCGAGTGTACCTGCGCTCGATGCAAAGTTTCACCGCGTACGCGGGTCGCATGACGACGGCGCGGCGTCTGCGGCCCATCCCGCAGGTGCAGTGCAAGGGCGGCCCCTGCGAACTCTCGCCTGCTGCACTGCAGTGCTACAACCGCGGGTTCGATGGCAAGACTGTCAACTGGGAATGTAGGGCTGACATGGACGAGCGAGTGCGGTTTGGCAATTTGCATGTCATCTGCGAGGGCTACGACTACGCTGGCGACGAGTACATCCTGGCGGGTTCCTGTGGGGTGAGTGTCCGATGATGCCCAGGGGTTTCGCTAATTATTGGCGAGGGGCCTCGAAAACTATATAGTCTTGGGCATTGCCAAATCAAAAACCCCCTCATGCAATTTGAAATCCCATTCAATCACTGGCCAGCAATTCCCTCAAAGTCAATGCAATCTAAGCGTCCCGAATTCGAACTTTTCTAATCATGCCTCCACTGTTCGAATTTTTGAGTCGTTTTTATCATGAAAATGTCGGGTTATTTTTTAGAAATTTGCTCAAAAAAGCTGCTGAACGTTATTCTCTTTGTGCTCTCCACAAGAAGGGAGTAGGCATCTTACTACAACTACAAGTATGAAATGTATAAATAATTCACAGCTCTGATAATTTGGCAGAAAAAAATGCAGTGATAAATTTTATTTTTATAGATTAGTTATTTAATTTTAAATATGAATTTATTACTTCCATGATAAAAGCCAAAAATATTTTCAGGCAATGATCCGTCTGCAATGAATGCTGTTTTTGGTCGATAAAGTTTTTTTTTAATCGTATTGATTCAAGCACTGGTGTCGAAGCAAGGCTCATGGATCCGGAATGCGGGAATTTTTTGTTGTTGAATAATTAGGAAACAAATGAACGGGATACCTTGTGTTGAACTTGGAGGGCCAGTTTTCTTTGAAATATAATGAGCCATCAATGGAAAACTTCTGGAATGTGATGAAATGTTATATTTTGGGACGGGTGAAATGAACAATTAACCATCTTCTTGAAAATTGTTGGAGAAAACTCGCGTAGAAATCGGAGGGACCGGCATTTTTGAAAGTCATGCTGAGAATTATTTATCTGTATTTCGTTTTAAGTTTTTTAACTAACCATGCACGAAATTTTCGAAGAATTTAAGCTATCGTAACTGACGAATTATTTGCATACTTCAGGATCGAAAAGTCCAGTATTTGGCGCATTTCATGACAGACGAAAAGTAATGATCCGTTTAATGTTTCGCCAAGCCCCTTGATGAAATAAATCCCCTGAAATGAATACCAAATAACATGGTTTCACACACCCGGGCGTGATGCAAATCTCGGCGTAATTTCCAGAGTCGAGTCCAACTGCGTACTTAGTGAAGTACTTGTGCAATTACACTCGCCCTATTAACCCCGAAAATCGCCGGGTTCAACCGCCTCGTTCCGGAGTTTTTCGGCTCCAATGTCTGTGATTAAGCTGGGGTTNGCCACCTGGCGGAGGTCGGCCGAACGACTACGATCCCGGGCCAGGGTTTTGGCCAGGTGCTGGACTGGGGGCAATTCTTGGCTACATCTTGGGCTACTCCACGTCTGACGACGGGTAACCTTTTCTGCTTCGAATATCCTCCAATTTTTTCCGTCGTTTCTATTCTGTGATTTGAATACTGTACTCAATGACGAATTAAGACAAAAATTCCAGTTATGTGATGCTTGAGATGATACCGTAACTCACTTATTACGGAGGAATGAATTCTCTAATTTTAAATATTTTTGCTGGAAGTTTTATTTTCTTTGTGCTATTGTTAAACCTTCTTCCCAGCATTCGCAGCGTATAGGTACTTTGTTACACTAAAATTTGAAGCATCTTATTCGGTTGAGTTTTTGTTCTGCATGATATATGTTAGCTAGAAGTGAGTTTGTCTATAAATGTAAAAAAGTTCTGCTAAAGGCATTATTTTCTCTGACCAGAAAATAAATCAGAGCCGGTGACTTTTTAGCGTCTGGGAAATAAAGAAAGGAATGAGACTTTCTCGTCGAAGGAAATCCTTGGTTCTTCTTATTTTCTGTCAGATTCGTTCTATTTTCTCCCTCAAATCGTCCATTTAGCGAGGAATCAATCATCATGTCTTGAGAATATATCTTTAAAAGAATAATATAGGTACATTTCTTTTCAACTTTTTTTATGTATTGTCCCACTCGTCGTTCATTCAGTTACGGTAACGCGAATTACGGGCCCAACTACTACGGCCCTGCACCAGGCCCATCCGGCCCCGGGGGTTTCTACGAACCCGGCTACGAGCCCGGGTTCGACGGTGGAGGAATGGGTAATCCTGGACCCACTGGACCCACTCGCGAGGCCCGAGGTTTCGGGGAGACCAGTGTACAAGTCAGATCGAACCCTTTCACACCCACTCCGGTCAGCACCAACAGCGCAGTTTTATTGTCGAATGTGTCATCCTCTGCTGGAACCCGATTAAGTCCTGCCAACGGATGTTGCTATGACACGCCGGGTGCGAGAAACCGCATTTTGATTCCCAGAAGGAAGATGGGTTGAAGAACTTGGATTCAATTTAATACAAGCTAGAGGATTTTTTTTCCCTCAATATTTCCTCAGGAAATCAGTTTTTCTTGATTTTTCTTTTCTTTTTCCTAACATTGTTTTCGAACACTTAACGCCGCTTTCGGTGGATTCAATCCCGAAAAACGAATGCTGCGAGTTTCCCCCGACATCGAAATTATTCGAAATGTATTCTTGTTAGTCGTTCTGCCCTCAATAATGCTGAAAATGAGACCATTAAATGCGTTGCCTGCTCATACGAGGCAACAAGCCTTCAGTATATGTGGTTAAACTGATGTTATGTGTTGTATATTTGGAATGAATGCATGCAATAATGAGTTGGTGGAATATTATGCTGAATAAAATCTTACATGGACATTGTATATCTGCCCTTATATAAGCAAGAAAATGCATGGTTTCAATCTCGGGACCTTGTTTTATTCGGGTTTTTGGTTTTTCTTCGAATTGAGTAGCGAATTTGTTTAAAGCAAACGGTAATAATCGAGCAAAATTTTTAATGCGTGTACCGTATGCACGGAAATTTTTTGCTTCATTTTGACGCCAGCATTGGGATTATTCTCAAGCTGTAGTGTTTGCGATCTTAAACGGCAAATTGTTTTTTTCTTTTAGGAATTTTGTAAATAGGCACTCGGCATCTTTCTTGCTATAGAATTCGAAAGGCCGTTTCGTTTTCCCTCATAAAATTTATTTGCAGGATATACTATAATTCGTATTACTAAGATATATTATTAAACGTTTGATTTATTTTTAAAAAGGACTACGTTACCTTCAATCAATGTCAGTTTTAAGCAAGATATAAATTAGCTTAAACCATTTGGGAACCAAAGATTCAATTGTTTTTGTCTTGTTTTTCTGTAGCTTACCAGAAGAAGCCGAATTGCGTTCAATCCAACAGAATATAAATTATTTAAAAAATTGAAGATACTGTAATGCACTTTGAAAATTAAGACTCTTCTTAAAATTCGCCAGCAGTCTAGTGAAAATTTTTTGCACGCTGAACACCTTTGAACTCTTCATTCGCATTTTTGAAAATCCACCGCAGATCGACTCAAAATTTTTCCCTTTATGTAAATATTTTCGGAAAATCAAGCTCCACGTCAACCCTTTTTATTCGGTGTATATTCTTTTAAAAATTAATTAATTTAGAAGCGGAAATGAAGATTTTGCACAATTTTATTCCAACGAAGCTGGATTCATAAATTTTAGAACTGGCATACTGTACTATTGCACAAAGAAATGTTTTTACAGCACGAACCGTTTCGAAGAGAAATGATTTTCTGTTTTGATTTTTTAACCACCGCCTTGCCAATTTTTCTCAATACCGTCCAAAGATCATGTTTTGTGCTTCATGCCATGATTCTTTTCCGCAAATTTCTGTGCCTCAGAAGGAACTGCGAATAAGATGCATGCAGCAGAATAGCGGTTAACCCATTCCGAGGTGTTTCGAGAAATTTTACAATCACATGTCATTTCTTGTGCGAAGAGTCGTGAAATTCTGTACAAAGGCTCTCATTGGGAACGATTCGTGGGTTGCTGAGAGAAATTGGCGGAGCAGCAGTTCTCAAGATGCTGAAAACCGCGTATAATGACATCGAGTTTTTACATCCCGATACAGCACACTTCACTTGATGTTTTTCTTTTCTTTCTGCCAAAACGGGTTTGCCGAGACCAATGGACTTCTTAGGTCAGGAACACGATATTCCTTTCGGAGTCACGAATGAATATCTGCGGGCTTTGAGAAAATTGTTGACCATCTCGCCCCGATAATTTGTTGGATACGCCGTAACGGCGAAGGAAAATTCACTGTTTCCGTCGTTGCATGAGATTACTGCACGTTTTTAAGTTTTTTTTCTTCCCTTTTTTTAACCCCTTCGGCAGTTTGCTTGGAATTGGGCTGGGCAATAAGTTTCGTCGTTTTCCGCGACTCACTATTTTTGCAAAAAATTTCAAAATTTCAAGCTCATCGGTGCAATATTAACTTCCAGATATGATTAATTTTTAGGTTTACAGTGTGGCCCCGAGATGTGGACACAATTGGTGCTTGGACCTTGTCCTTATGTTGGAATGTCATCCGCATATCGGATCACAGTTTCCCTTATACACACATCAATGGGGATATCTTTAATTAGTTTCCTCGTTGATCAAAAAATTGGGGAAAAGTCACCTGGAATTGAATAAAATAATTTGTTCAGCTTCAAGATACAAAAAATAACACTGCAGAATAAGAAAACAACACATCATCTGCTCTTCTGGCATGAAAAGGAGTCAAAAAGCAACAAACTAGCACAAGTCTTCCTATACCGCGCAAAGATGATGGGATTAAGAAATATCAAAAAACTACAGGTTGAAAAATGTTCAAGCTCAGCAAGAAAGTTGAATTATTCTTTTTTGGCTTTGTTTTATATACAGTATTTTCTCATTTTATTTCATGCAAAAGTGAGATATGTATGCATTGTGCATTTTATTATTGATTGATCATCTGATACTGGGTGTGCGCCTTTTGTTTGGGATACAATTTTACCAAAATTTTCCCGTGCAAAATATGTCCGCAGCTTTCTTGATTTATAAATACGGTAGTTATTAAAACCCAAGCAGCATGGCTTATATATTTCGATGAAAATTTTGAAAGCAATACTGTATCCTCAATGTAAAATTTAGAATTCATGCTAGATAATTTACATGGCAGTATA